ACTGTAGTGTAAGGAGGTAGGGGTAGGGGTCGTCCTCGAAAAGGTTGGAGGGAGGGGGTAAAGGAGGTGTTGTGGGCGAGGGATTTGGACTTCCAGAAAAGAATAACAGAGCGGCTAAAAGAGGTCAATATATCTGAAATGCGTAGGGAGACACTGGTCAGAGAAATAGCAAGCATCGAACTTAAGCTAAAGGAATCTTATAGGAGTCAGGAATCGCGGGAAGAACTAAAAGCCATAAATGAAATCGAAAGAAACCCAAAGTATTTCTTCTCTTATGCCAAATCAAAGTCGAGAACAACGTCCAGTATTGGGCCCCTACTTAAACAAGATGGGTCCTACACAGATGACAGCAAGGAAATGAGTGAGCTACTCAAGTCCCAATATGACTCAGTTTTTAGCAAGCCGCTAACCAGACTGAGAGTCGAAGATCAAAATGAATTTTTTATGAGAGAGCCACAAAATTTGGTTAACACAAGCCTATCCGATGTTATCCTGACACCAAGTGACTTCGAACAGGCGATAAATGACATGCCCAAGCACTCTGCCCCAGGGCCAGACTCATGGAACTCCGTGTTCATCAAGAACTGCAAGAAGCCTCTATCACGAGCCTTTTCCATCCTATGGAGAGAGAGCATGGACACGGGGGTCGTCCCACAGTTACTAAAAACAACAGACATAGCCCCACTCCACAAAGGGGGCAGTAAAGCAACAGCAAAGAACTACAGACCGATAGCACTAACATCCCATATCATAAAAATCTTTGAAAGGGTCCTAAGAAGCAAGATCACCACCCATCTAGAAACCCATCAGTTACACAACCCAGGGCAACATGGGTTTAGAACAGGTCGCTCCTGTCTGTCTCAACTGTTGGATCACTATGACAAGGTCCTAAATGCACTAGAAGACAAAAAGAATGCAGATGTAATATATACAGACTTTTCAAAAGCCTTCGACAAATGTGACCATGGCGTAATAGCGCACAAAATGCGTGCTAAAGGAATAACAGGAAAAGTCGGTCGATGGATCTATAATTTCCTCACTAACAGAACACAGAGAGTAGTCGTCAACAGAGTAAAGTCCGAGGCAGCTACGGTGAAAAGCTCTGTTCCACAAGGCACAGTACTCGCTCCCATCTTGTTCCTCATCCTCATATCCGACATAGACAAGGATGTCAGCCACAGCACCGTGTCTTCCTTTGCAGATGACACCCGAATCTGCATGACAGTGTCTTCCATTGCAGACACTGCAAGGCTCCAGGCGGACATCAACCAAATCTTTCAGTGGGCTGCAGAAAACAATATGAAGTTCAACGATGAGAAATTTCAATTACTCAGATATGGTAAACACGAGGAAATTAAATCTTCATCAGAGTACAAAACAAATTCTGGCCACAAAATAGAGCGAAACACCAACGTCAAAGACCTGGGAGTGATCATGTCGGAGGATCTCACCTTCAAGGACAATAACATTTTATCAATCGCATCTGCTAGAAAAATGACAGGATGGATAATGAGAACCTTCAAAACTAGGGAGGCCAAGCCCATGATGACACTCTTCAGGTCACTTGTTCTATCTAGGCTGGAATATTGCTGCACACTAACAGCACCTTTCAAGGCAGGTGAAATTGCTGACCTAGAAAATGTACAGAGAACCTTCACGGCGTGCATAACGGAGATAAAACACCTCAATTACTGGGAGCGCTTGAGGTTCCTAAAACTGTATTCCCTGGAACGCAGGCGGGAGAGATACATGATTATATACACCTGGAAAATCCTAGAGGGACTAGTACCGAACTTGCACACGAAAATCACTCACTACGAAAGCAAAAGACTTGGCAGACGATGCAACATCCCCCCAATGAAAAGCAGGGGTGTCACTAGCACGTTAAGAGACCATACAATAAATGTCAGGGGCCCGAGACTGTTCAACTGCCTCCCAGCATACATAAGGGGGATTACCAACAGACCCCTGGCAGTCTTCAAGCTGGCACTGGACAAGCACCTAAAGTCGGTTCCTGACCAGCCGGGCTGTGGCTCGTACGTTGGTTTGCGTGCAGCCAGCAGCAACAGCCTGGTTGATCAGGCTCTGACCCACCAAGAGGCCTGGTCACAGGCCGGGCCGCGGGGGCGTTGACCCCCGGAACTCTCTCCAGGTACTCCAGGTAAGCGTGCGTGAGCGTGTTAGATAGGAGTGAATGGAGACAAATGGTATTTGGGACGTGACGAGCTGTTGGAGTGTGAGCAGGGCAATATTTAGTGAAGGGATTCAGGGAAACCGGTTATTTTATATAACCGGACTTGAGTCTTGGAAATGGGAAGTTCAGTGCCTGCACTCTAAAGGAGGGGTTTGGGATATTGGCAGTTTGGAGGGATGTATTGTGTATTTTTATACGTATATACTTCTAAACTGTTGTATTCTGGGCACCTCAAAAAACAGTGATTATGTGTGAGTGAGGTGAAAGTGTTGAATGATGAGAGTATTTTCTTTTTTGGGATTTTCTTTCTTTTTGGGTCACCCTGCCTCCGTGGGAGACAGCTGACTTGTTGAAAAAAAAATAAATGTATATATATATATATATATATATATATATATTATATATAATATATATATATATTATATATATATATATATATATATACACACACACACATTCCTCGATGACGCACTGACTTTCTTAGGTTATCATGGGTGGTTAACCCTTTGGGTTAAAAATCGAACAAAATGTTATGAACGGTGCCCCGTGGCCTGGTGGCAAGAGCTCTCGCTTCACACGGCAAGGGTCCGGGTTCGATTCCCGGCGAATAAGTAAGTTTATTCAGGCATGCACAAATACATTTACATAGATTATCAATCATAGCAGCATATGTGTAAAGTACCTAGGATAAACCAAAAAAGTGGAAGGGGTAGAAACATCGGACGTGTTTCCTTACACCGGTTGTCTATGTTCATCCATCAGTAAAATGGGTAGCTGGGTGTTAGTGGACTGGTGTGGGTCGCATCCTGGGACAAAGCTGACCTAATTTGCCCGAAATGCTCTGCATAACAAGTGACTTTCTTTGTAGTAGTATGTCATAATGATGCAATTGTACAAATGCTAGACCTGCTTTACACAGCATTGGAAAAGAACGAATATCCGCTAGGAACTTTTATTGACCTAAGAAAAGCTTTTGACACAGTAGACCACGGCATCCTACTCCACAAACTTGACCATTATGGTATAAGTGGCCATGCGCTTGCATATTTTAAATCCTACCTTACAAATAGGTATCAGTATGTCACCATTAAAGACACAGCCTCATCAACACGGCCACTTGATACCGGAGTTCCGCAGGGAAGTGTCCTTGGTCCCCTGCTCTTCCTCATTTACATCAATGATCTTCCAAACGTATCCCAACACCTGAAACCCATTCTCTTTGCTGACAACACGACTTATGTCATCTCCCACCCTATTCTTGCTACCCTCAACACCATTGTTAACGAGGAGCTGTTCGAAATATCGACTTGGATGACAGCCAATAAACTTACACTTAACACTGACAAAACCTACTATATTATTTTGGTAGCAGAGCAGGTGTTGCGCAACTTAACATTAAGATCGACAACACTCTAATTGCCAGACATAATGAGGGCAAATTCCTAGGCCTATACCTCGACAACAACCTGAATTTCAGTACCCATATCCAACACATAACAAAAAAGTATCCAAAACGGTTGGAATCCTCTCCAAGATACGATACTACGTGCCGCAAACTGCCCTTCTCACACTATACCATTCACTCATTTATCCATACCTCACCTATGCTATTTGTGCTTGGGGATCAACTGCAGCAACACACCTAAAGCCAATAATAACCCAACAAAAAGCTGCAGTAAGAATAATCACTAAATCCCATCCCTGGCAACCCCCCCCCCCACTATTCATAGATCTAAACTTACTCACTGTTCAGAACATCCACACTTATAACTGTGTAATCTGCATCTACAAGACCTTAAGTTGCAATATTAACCTTGACCTAAAACGCTTTCTTGATAGTTGTGACAGGACCCACAGGCATAACACCAGACACAAACATCTCTATGACATTCCCCGTGTCCAACTAAACCTTTACAAAAATTTTATGTATGTCAAAGGGCCTAAAATCTGGAACACCCTACCTGAAAGCTCTAGAACTGCAGACACATTCATCACCATCAAAACTACCGTTTTGATGGCCACCAGGCCTGGTGGCTAAAGCTCCCGCTTCACACACGGAGGGCCCGGGTTCGATTCCCGGCGGGTGGAAACATTTCGACAAGTTTCCTAACACCTGTTGTCCTGTTCACCTAGCAGCAAATAGGTACCTGGGTGTTAGTCGACTGGTGTGGGTCGCATCCTGGGGGACAAGATTAAGGACCCCAATGGAAATAAGTTAGACAGTCCTCGATGACGCACTGACTTTCTTGGGTTATCCTGGGTGGCTAACCCTCCGGGGTTAAAAATCCGAACGAAATCTTATCTTATCTTAGACAACATCTTATCTCCCTGATACACCCCGACAACTAACTACATGAAACTCACCTGTTCACACTTACACTCACTCACCCACTTGACTAAAATCACAGAAATACGAATCTTAATCATAAAATAATGAATCCTAACTAGTCATAAGTTTGCCTGTGATACTACAATATAGAACCTGTGTATTGTGCCAAAACAAAAGCATTTACATTGCTAAACTCACAAACTATAATGTAGTCACTTAGCCTTAATACCAACTTACTCCATAATCTGTATTAATTTAGAGTTAAGAATTAATCTAAGTCTGCCCGAAATGCCTAGCCATGCTAGGTGTCCTAGTGGCCATCTCTGTAATTAGTATTTTATAACATGTAAACCACACAATATCCAAAATCTGTAAACCCCGCAATGTAATCTTTATAGAGAATAAACTTGACTGATTGATTTATGTCAGCTAGGACTGTATAGCGCCGTTGCCGTCACCGCTGCCGCAGCCACCTCTGACGTCTCCACCGCCGCCACCGCTGCCGCCACCACCGCCACCGCCGCCACCACCGCCACCACCGCCGCCACCACCGCCGCCGCCGCCGCGGCCGCCATCTTTTTAACGCCACTGTTGGCTGGTGCTAAGTTTCTCCAGAAAGAGTTCATCACTCTCGGTAAGTACTCCGTCTCTTGCTACTAAAACCATACTGAAACTAAATTAGTGTGAGACACGAGTAATTAACACACATGTTCAGTGTATATACATGATGTGTGAAGGTATTTATCAGTGTTGAATACATCAGCTGATAATGTTGCATCATCCTGACCTTCAACAACAGTAGACCTTTAGATCTATGGTGATGTGTAAGGTAGTCAGAAGACTACACCAGGTCAAGGAACATCCCAAATACACTAGCTAAGTAAGATACAGCAGTAATGAACTGCTTTAAGATATTAATGCAGTCATTAGACTTTTCCTTCCCGGGTCTTCCCATCCTTCCCGGCTTAACTAAATAAGTTAGTCGTTAACTTTTTACCAGAACTTAGCTAGCAGTCTAACCCACCATTTGAATTTGAATTAAAGAAAGAAAAACCCAAGCTCAGTGGGGCTCGTGGCTTAAGTGGTAGTGGCACTCTTGATCCAGGAATTGGATCTGCTTCAATTCCCAGAATTAAGCCTGAATGCCTTCCATCCCTCCACAGGCACTGTATAATTCCTATAATAATAATATCTTTATTTCTACAAGTACAAGTACAAGTTATACAGTCCTAGCTGACATCATTGACATACTACTATAAAGAAAGCCACTTGTTATTCTGAGCATTTTGGGCAAATTAGGTCAGTTTTGCCCCAGGATGCAACCCACACCAGTGTGTCATATGTTTAACACTCCCCATAATAATAATAATAATAATAATAATAATAATAATAATAATAATAATAATAATAATAATCCTTACTCCTGCTGCCCCTTGATCAGTCAGTGATAAGTTAAGATTTGTTCGGATTTTTAACCTGGAGGGTTAGGCACCCAGTATAACCCAAGAGAGTCAGTACGTCATTGAGGACTGTCTGTTTTATTTCCATTGTTGTCCTTCAACATTGTCCCCCAGGATGCGACCCATACTAGTCAACTAACACCCAGGTACCTACTTACTGCTAGACTGATTGGCTTTCTTGGGTTAAATGGAAATATGCCAGACTGATTGACCCGGGTTATTCTGGGCTGCTAATGCCCAGGTTACTAATCCAGATAAAATATTCAGCTGAACCTAGCCCAACCCAGCAATCTAACAACCTAACCTAAAGAAACCTACTAACCCAACCTAACCTATCAAGCTAAATTAGCCTCTAAACTTAACCTTGGTAACCATGGGACACTGTGATGTCCCATGTCTTGGTTGGCAACTCTTTTTGCCTCACACACTTGAGTGTCTGTGGTTAGGTAAGGTTTATCAGGAAACAGGACAAGTGTTTCCTGACGCGAGTCTTAGTCAGATTATGACCTGCCTTTGGAGCTTTGGTCATCTGACCGAGGCCTTCCGCTGGCTTACTGGTCCACCCCTTTAAAAATTATGATCATTTATATAATGATTTTTATAATGTGTCTGTGGTTCAATCCCTAACACGGGAGGAAATGCTAGGCGTCACAGACCGGGCTGTGGGGGCATTGACCCCCGGAACTCTCTCCAGGTAAACTCCAGGTAAACACCTGCTGTCCCTGTTCACTTATCAGTAAGTAGGTACCTGGGTGTTAGTTGACTGGTGTGGAATACATCCTGGGGGACAAGATTAAAGGACCTCATTGAAAATAAGACACAGTCCTTGATGAGGCTCTGACTTTCTTGGGGTATCCCTGGGTGGCTAACCCTCCGGGTTAGAGATCCGAACAAATCTTGTCTTGAAGGTTGAGATACTTATGCAACATATAGGAATCTTTATTGAAGAAATGTTTTGCCACACAGTGGCTCCATCAGTCCAGTACAAAACACAAGGGAGTAAGGAGAGGAGGAGTTTGAGGTAATCAGTCCCTCAGCCTGGATTTGATGTATTCAGTCCATCAATCTACAAGATAAAGAAATTTTGGCCTAGATGTGAGAGAATGGGTCTGGGCAGTGAGTGTATATAAGTATAAAAAAAAAAGCTTGATCAACCCCCTCCCCATTCCTCTCTGAATTTTGATTGCTTTCAGGACTGGAAGAAGTAGCTCAATATTGAGCTCAAAGTAGCAGAAATATTTGATTTTATAATATTCCAGAGGATGGAAAAGACCCCTCTACAATCCCCAGTCTGTTTTATGGGTTTTTATCAGGTCTGATTCAGTTATTGGGAGGCTGTAACCCATGACCAGTCTTTCCTGGTTATATTTTTTTTTATGTGAGAACTAGAGTTAATCATGTACTATTTGTGTGAATAAGAATACAAAATGGAAAGCAAGTGTACTATAAGAGAGGCCTGAGGATGTGATTAATGAACAGAGAAAGTTGTTTTAGTGCCAGGAATGTCTACATTTGTATTTTAGATGAAAAACTAGCCAAATTACCAACTTCTGTGCACTTTTTTGAGTTGTTTTTGACAGTTGAATGGAGAGTTTCTTGTGCACAATCAATGGAGTGGAATTCATACTTGTAATATAGTTAAGAATTTGGTCAACTGGAACAGTGGAATTGGCCTAAAATAGGACTCGGTGGGCAAAATTGTAGATACCACTAACTTTGTGCCTATGTGATTCCCTAGGTTTTCCATCCAGTTTCATAATTTTGATGTAATTACCTTCAGAAACAGATTCTCAGCCATTTCAGATTTTTTTTCCTAAATGACACTAAGAGGAATATTAATTTTGGAGTCTGGGCAGTGAAAGGGTCAAGCGTCTCTTTTTCATTCTTTTGGGAGCTACAAGGAATTTTGTGTAATTTCTAGTACAGTAGTATGTATTTTTTGTTTTATTTCTTTGAGATTACTCCCATGCTCTAATGCATTTCAAAATAATTTTGTTTCCAGTCATGGCTGCTCACTTCGCTCCAGCATTCCGCACACCATTTACTGACATTGGTGGGCGTGTCCTCACTCACCAGTCCACCAAAAAGTGTGCAGACTTTGAGATGCGTGCTATGGAGTGTTTAGAAGCATATGGTGTGCAACGTGGAAAAACTATTTGTATAGACTACCTGGACGACCTTCGGGAGTGCGCATTTGAAACTAGACAGGTCAGTGTCCTAGTACAGAAACAGCTCTGCGACTTCCTATTTATAGTTGTGGGAGCAGAACTAATCTAGTGATGTCTCATCACTACTTTATTTTATATTTCTTTATATTTACTGGGTTCTAATTTGTGAAATTTGATTATCCAACATTTTCACTGATTGGTAACTTACAAATAGATTTAATTATCCACAATTTTCTGAATGAAAATGGAGTTTTCTTTTGTATTCATGTAATGTGCAAAATTTTGATGCAACTCTCCATAGAGTTTTCTGATCTTTCCACCATTGTCAGGTGTGGCAGCTACTAGCCATCTCTTCCTGTCATCCAAGCCTACATAGCTGTTTATTAGCCACCTCTCCTAACTTAAATGATGTTTTTCAAAATTATTACTTGTGCTTAAATCACTGTATATAGAACCCCTGTATCATCAGTTGGAAGAGAATATTCAGTGTGTTAACCCCTTTAGTGTTCAGTCATAGAAATACTGGAGGGATTTTGAAATCCTCTTTAGAAAGGCCTTATCCAAGACCAAATCACTCGTTACTTTCACCCGAGTTTTTTTCATATGGGCACAAATCGCAAAAAAATCAAGTACTATACCCTGTCTGGGGCTATGGAACAACTTGCTGGGAAACATGCATACTCTGTGTTGGGAACCTGTAATGAAGTGTATGCAACAGATTCTCTGTTATGTGTTAAAAAATGCAATGTACAGTGGACCCCTGGTTCCCAATGTTACCGGTATCCGATAAATTCGGTTGCCGATGCATTTGATCGAAAAAATTTTGCCTCGCTTCCCGATACAAAACCCGGTATGCGATACGATTTGTACGAGACATGTCCACTTGTGGCCTGAACTCCCCCGTGTGTACCAGTGTTTACAAGCCAGCCAGTATGCGCGCATCTAAGGATACATTCAGTACATTCCATATTATCCATATTATCACTGTTTTTGGTGCTTGTTTCTGCAAAATAAGTCACCATGGGCCCCAAGAAAGCTCCTAGTGCCAACCCTTCGAGACCAAGGGTGCTAATGACTTGAAATGAAGAAAGAGATAATTGCAAAATACGAAAGTGGAGTGTGTGTGTGTCGGAACTGGTCAGGTTGTATAGTAAACCCCAATCAACCATCTCTACTATAGTGAGCAGGAAAACGGCACTCAAGGAAGCTGTTCTTGCAAAAGGTGCAACTGTGATTACGAAACAGCGACCGCAAGTGTTAGAAAATGTTGAGAGACTGTTATTGGTGTGGATAAATGAAAAACAGATAGCAGGAGATAGCATCTCTCAAGTGATCATTTGTGAAAAGGGTGATGAAAATCACCCTCACACAGCTATTGAAAGCCATGCTGGTGACTATTACATTGACAATGTTGTGAAACACTTTAGGAAAGTCATAAAGGAACGAGAGGTACAGGCCTCTATGGACAGATATGTTGTGCGACAGAAGTCCAGTGACTCTCAAGCTGGTCCTAGTGGCATTAAAAGAAGGGAAGTAACCCCAGAAAAGGACTTGCTACCTCAAGTCCTAATGGAAGGGGATTCCCCTTCTGAACACTAAGACCATCCACACTCTCACCTCCTCCCATCCCATCAATCAACACCAGAACTTCAATAAGGGTAAGTGTCATGTAACTGTGCATGTCTTCTTCAGTTTGTATTAAAATTAATATTTCATGTGGTAACAAAAATTTTTGTTTTCATACTTTTGGGTGTCTTGCACGGATTAATTTGATTTCCATTATTTCTTATGGGGAAAATTGATTCGCTTTCCGATAATTTTGGTTTACGATGAGCTCTCAGGAACGGATTAATATCATGAACCGGGGGTCCACTGTATAATAAGCATGAAATGTATTTAACATTGTAAAGTGATATAAAAATAACGTGCTATTATTTGTGTAGAATTTGGGTTGACTTAAGAAGTATACAGTGGACCCTCGGATATCAGCCGTTTTGGATATCGACCAAATCGGATTTCGGCCGCTTTTTGGCCGAAATTCTGTCTGGGATTTTGGCTGGCAACTCGGAAATCGGCTGTATTGGACACGTCCGTCCGCAACGTGCACGAGTCAGTTTGGGCGTCTCTCGGTGAGTTTTTTGTGGTTGTTTATTGGGTGTGACTGTGAAATAAACCACCATGGGCTCAAAGAAAGTTCCTAGTGCCAGCCCTTTGGTAAAGGGCTGAGAGAGAGGGGAGAATGTGCCTTCTTCAGTGATTCTGTGATATGTACGATACTAAAGCAGCAGGAATCGATAAAGGCTATAGCGCCAGCCAGTGATAGTGTAGCATTAACAGTGTAGCAAGTAGGTTAAGCGATAGAAAAAGGACAACACGAAACTAACTCCTCCAACGTTGTTGGAGTACAGTGGACCACCGCCTTATGATATTAATCCATTCCTGAGAGCTCATCGTAAGCCAAAATTATCGTTAGCCGAATTAATTTTCCCCATAAGAAATAAAGGAAATCAAATTAATCTGTTCCTGACACCCCAAAGTATGAAAAAAAAAAAAATTTTACCACATGAAGTATTAATTTTAATACAAACTGAAGAAGACATGCACAATTACTACTCTGCTAAGAATAGAATACATGACACTTACCTTATTGAAGATCTGGTAATGATTGATGGGATGGGAGGAGGGGAGAGTGTGGAAGTTATTGTTTAGAAGGGGAATCCCCTTCTATTAGGACTTGAGGTAGCAAGTCATTTTCCTGGGTTACTTCCCTTCTTCTTTTAATGCCACAAGGACCAGCTTGAGTCACTGGACCTCTGTCCATTGAGCTCTGTACCTCCCATTCCTTTAAGACTTTCCTAAAATGGGCCATAACATTGTCATTGTACAGGGTAATACCAGGAGGCACTTAAAGTCCAATTTCTTTACCGTTAGGTAATTTTTCACAGTGGGGGCAAATGCATGGTGTAACCAGTCATAGAAAAAGTCCCTAGTGACCCATGCCTTACTGATTCCCCTCCACAGCACACACAAATTAGCCTTGACGACATTGTTTTGCCTGAACGCTCTGGGAGTTTGAGAGATACACCAATAAAGGCTTCACTTTGCAATCACCACTAGCATTAGCACACATCAAAAGAGTAAGCCTGTCTTTCATAGGCTTATGTCCTGGGAGTGCCTTTTCCTCCTGAGTAATGTAGGTCCTGCTTGGCATTTTCTTCCCAAACAGGCCTGTTTTGTCACAATTAAATGCTTGTTCAGGTTGCAATTCTTCACTATGTACTCCTTGAATTCCTTCACATATTTTTCAGCCGCTTTTTGGTTTGAACTGGCAGCCTCACCATGCCTTATCATACTATGTATGCCACTACGATTCTTAAATCTCTCAAACCAACCTTTGCTGGCCTTAAATTCATTCACATCACCACTAGTTGCAGGCATTTTTCTAATTAAATTGTCATGCAACTTCCTAGCCTTTTCACATATGATACACTTGAGAGCTGCTATCTCCTGCTATCTGTTTTTCGTTTATCCACACCAATAACAGTCTCTCAACATCTTCTATCACTTGCGATCTCTGTTTTGAAAACAAACTTGCATCTTTTGCAAGAACATCTTCCTTGATTGCCATTTTATTGGCCAAGATAGTAGCGATGGTTGATTGGGGTTTGGTATTCAACCTGGCCAGCTCCGAGACACGCACTCCACTTTCGTACTTAGCAATTATCTCTTTCTTCATTTCCATAGTAATTTTCACCCTTTTTACCACAGGGTTGGCACTAGAAGCTTTCTTGGGGCCCATGGTGACTTATATTGCAGTTACAAGCACTAAAAACACTGTGATAATATGAAATGTACTGAATGTATGCTTAGATGCGACCGCACTGGCTGGCTTGTAAACACTGGCACCCACGGGGCAGCTGAGGCCACACGTGGGATGCGTCCCGGATGAATCACGTAAGGCGAGTTTTTTATCGTGAGGCGAGGCAAAATTTTTGCATTCAAATGCTTTGTATGGCGGATTTAACGTAACACGATGCGTTCGTAAGGTGGGGCTCCACTGTATATAGAGCCACTGACAACCTATGCTGCTCTGCGTATCTTCCACCACCCTAAACCTCTCCCAGCATCTCAATAACCACTTTATTTCTTTACATTCTCCACAATAACCACTTTATTGCATTACATTCTCCACAATAACCACTTTATTTCTTTACATTCTCCATTATGTTTTTATACAGTATTTCTTATTTATAAATTACGTGCATTGTTTTAGTTTGACTAGTAGTGTGTTTAGTGGTGGTGGCTGCTGCTCTCGCCACCACCATCACTATATGGCTTATGCTGAATAACTGAACCTTATAAATTGTATATCCTATATGTTACAATTATATCACACAAATGTTAAACCTAGGACCCAATCTAACTTTATTTTTTTAAATACACTACCTAACAGAATACTCCATTCGACTGAATGTACAGCAATGCATGCAACCATATGACCTGTCTTTGTAATACTCATTTGTGCTTTATAGTTATCTGTTTACAATAATGTTTTATCACTGATTTCATCATTGCTTAGTTAATCTTAAGTTAATTTTAAGCCAGCCCGTAATGCAATGCATATAAGTGGCTTTGGCATGCTGCTCTTACCTGTATTTTTTTGTACCTCTGTATATATGCTAAATTACTAAATAAATAAATAAATAAATAAATAAATAAATGCTGTCAGTGGTCCTGATAAATCCACCACCACCACTAGTCACATACATAATGATATATTTTATTCATTCTAGAGTATATATCGTGTTTCTATGTTATTAATATTGTTTAGGTCAGATGAATTGTGATAGATAAATAAGCCGTAGAGTTAATATTAGCGCCAACAAGAGTCTTCAGTAAAGGTAAAAGTGATGTTAAATGTTCATTTATCCATTTCATTAGTCATTTTATTTAGTTCTTATTGTTTTGTGTATGTAAAACTATAATTAATCTTTAAAAAATGTATTTTTTGTTAATATTTTTGGGTGTCTGGAATGGATT